TATATATATATTTTGTGGTAGCGTAGAGCACAGTTCACAAATGTTAATAGCATTGAAAGTTGTCTAAAATATTTTCAAACACAGTAATTATATATCAATGATTATACCATCACATGGATAGGCATACTTTATATAAAGACTGCCAATCAGTGATGCTTAAATGTGACTGAGACATACGAACAAGAATCCTCTACAAAATACATAAAAATATTTTTAAAAGTGCTTGATATTTTACTGGTATATTTTTTATGTTCTTGAGGCAATCAGTTAAAGAAGCAACAGTTTCATTGTTCTTGATCGATGAGAGGTACTCAATAGCATCAAGGCGCTCGGACAATGTGCCAATATCTTTCAAAGGACGTAGGAACCACAACCTGTATTAGTGTTAATAACAATGAAACAATAATAATAATAGGAAAATCTGTCATGCAATAATAAATAATTTTAGTAGCTTTGTTGAGATTTTTAATGTATATTTTATCTTTAAATACATACTTTAACAGTTTGTGTCCCAAAGATGACCTTGTGTGATTAGCAATACCTAAAATGTAACATAGACATCTAAAATTCACTTTGACACACTCCTCCATCTTCATTCCTTTCCCCCTCTTACCAAATAATGAGAGTCCTTCTTTAGAACCAGACGATCCTTTATACACTGATGGGTGATTTTCTCTATAGAATATCCTCAATGAGCTATAGGAACAAAAAAATAGCATAAAATTTTTAACAGGAAAATGTACATGCACGTGTAGTACCTAAAAGCTGTTTCATCCATCAGGAGTAAATTATCTCTACAGAAAGAAATGAAGAATAGAAGCAATCAATGTCATTAAATGTACAATCAAGCCTGCTATTGTGGACAGTCTAAAATAGGGACAACTCTATAATCAGGACAGGTAGTATATCAATCCTAATACAATATAAATGTGTATTAATGAACCTCTGAAACAATTAAGAACATGGTAACATCTATAATCAGGACAGTTTTATTGGGTCCCAAGGTGTCGATAATAGAAAGGTTTGACTATACATGCACATGTACATGTGAGTAGTGTAAAGTGAGGAATATATTACAGTGTGAATCTCTTGACAGACAGTATTGGTACGTGTGTCCCTATGTCTTCAAGCTCTATCCCAATCCTCTTCTTATCCAAGTACTTCAATAAAGCACCAATACTCCTCACCTACAAAATAATGAAAAACAATTAGAGCCTCTGGCTTCATAATCTATACACATACATGTAATACTACATAATAGTTACACACATAAAATTGCTGTGTCATAAAAAAGACACCTCTATAAAGAGGACATTTTTAATGCCTTAAATGGTACAAAACTATACAAAACTACCTCTGAAATGAGGACACCTTTATATTAAGGATAATTAGTACCCGATTGCCCTAGTATAGGCTGTAGAGTGTTATAGACTGACCATATTACTGGAGTCCATTGGTATGATTGATGATATCCTAACTTCTCTCTCTTTCTCCATACCCTCGGTCCTACCCTCACCAGTACCCGCCCCTTGTACTCCGGGCCATGAGTAAGACATAATGCGACGATGAGCAGTTTCATACTCTAACAAAGAAAGTAAGAGAATGCAAAAATTAGGTCAAAATTATCAAAAACATACTGCAATCATTGTAGATGTACACGCACAAGATTAGAAAGAATTTTTGGCAACTTTTAAAAATCATAAAAAATTCTATTTTGATCAGAATCAGCTCAAACTTTCTACGCAACATAAGTACATGTATATGCATCAGAAAAAATTATAAAAATGGAGAATTCTCTCTTTTTTAATTTTAGCGAAATTTGGCCTGTGACCCTGTACTATAGTACAGGGACTTTGGCCCAGTTTTTGAGTAATTTTAAAAGATCATTAAAAAATTTAATTTTGATCGGAACCAACTTAAACTTTCTATGCAACACAAGTACATGTATATGTATCAGAAAAAAATATAAAAATGAAG